CGTCAGCTTGTTTGCCATTCTAAGTTGTATAAAACTGTTTCGCCCATGATACCCCTAATGCGTTGCCATTTCTGAGGACTCAGATGTTATTCCTCTGTACCCTGTAAATTCACGCCATAACCCACCCTTCAAACCGAAACACAGCAATGCAAACGCAACTGTTTTACGGTTGAAACACAAATGGGACAGAGGTACCCAAGCAAACGACTATTGTACAAAGTCTCCCTCTGGTAAAATATTCGATTATACGGAATACCTATGGTTTTATTCGATTTAAATAATCGAGATTCTACTGTTATAACTAATATAATTACCACTCCGTTATCATCCATAAAAAAACGTTCATCGTTGGTACCTTGCCTGAATAAACCGATAACACAAGTGAGTTTACTATTCCATTGTCATATATTTAAAAAAAAAGAAATGTTTCCTCAGGTGCGAAGCGTAACCAAAAAAAAAATGTATTGACAAAAACACATTTCAATACGTACACAAACGAAATGAGATAATATATTATAACATCACTTCGTAACGCCTTCAAAAAATATAAAAGCAATATGTGCAAATAGACACTTTATTTTTTTTTTTCACGGAAATTGGAAATGGAGATAGAGAATTTTGGTGTAATATGAAAATTGTAATATCATGCAATAATACGAGTGCATATAAAATGCACCCTCACGGCACATTAGCTGTGTCATATTTCCGTTCATCCCTTACATTTCACAGATACTATTAGGCCATGAATGAAAATACACGTGTGTATAAATGATGCGTCAGCGTTGATTTGAATGATTCAATAAAAAATATTTTTGCTTAACTCAATAAAGCAAATATAGTAAATTAAGTTAAAAATATTCTTTTTATGCAACTTAGAATGGCAAACAGGCTGACAGGCCACCAAATGATGTATTAACCTTCTCCTATAGACGTAAACAATGCCATGACGGTCATAGAATACATTGTCAAGTTACTACGGTAGACTGGATTTTTTTTTGCCATTTTTTAACCTATTTCTTTAGGAAAATTGTTCTATTTCACTTTTAGAAAGCTTTGTAGGTCCCAAAATAGAACAGGCCATCCCTTCCTTTCCCATGAGTGTCGTAAGAGGCAATTTAGAGAACTTAATGGTAGAAAAATTGGCAGCAGCATCTCTCTTAAAACATCACTAAAAGCCTAACTGCGGTTGCCAACACGCCTGCTAAGCGCAGAAACTACTGGCAAAATTTCCTTTCTGGGGAAGGTTTATTTTCAGCAGTGGACAGTTAACGACTGATATGATGATAATATTGATGATTATTTTAAAGTGTAGAACAACAAATTTTAATATCACTTCTTAATAAATAGGAGTCACCTACTGCCTTAAACTTGTTCCACTATTGGGAACTTGTCTTTACAGATAATAAATTAATAGTCGTCCATTCTCCTAATGGAGAGTTTTACTACAGGGATATATTCTACTTATCTCGCACAGGCCAGTCCGCTAGATATAGATACTAATATGATACCATATTTTCTATCGAATAAGGTTCATTTTTTATTATACACTTAAATATTATATTCTTAATCTCTCATGACACGGAGAATTTATATCGTAAATATTATAGCAAGAAGTTTGTGTGTAACTTTAGTGAACTAATTCATCATTTTTGCACTACCTACGCAGGCAATAACAATTTGTTTAAACAATACAACGCCTTGGGCTTTAACCCACGCAGCAATAACGCCCGGGAAAGTGTTCTGTATGTTTACACCCAAAGGGCAGAAAGGAAATCGTTTACAAATAAACACATTAGTACGAAAGCCGGATTTGAGGGCGTCAACAATGCTTTTAGAGATTTATAAGATGATGTGTTGCTATTGAGTTAGTAAATGGCTGTGTAACGGTGTATTAACAGTGGCGGATATCTTTTATTTGTAGCTTTTAAGCGTCTTCGTTGCCATGTGGTCCCGGCGTAAAATTGGCCACCCCATCCTTTATCGTGGGTGTCGTAAGAGGCGACTAAAAGAGCTTAATTTTTGACGGATTAGCCACAACGTCCTTCTTAAAACATCACCAAAGCCTATCTGCGGTTGCCAAGTCACCTACCAAACGTGGCAATTACTGGTAAAACTCCTCTAATTCCTATAAGACTTATGATCAGCAACAGAGAGTTAACAGCTGCAATTATGATGAAATTTTTGTGTACAATAAAGTATAAATAAATAAATAAATTCATATATCGTAATAGGCGACTAAGAGAACTTACTGGTTGAGGGATTGGCAGCAGTGTCCTTCTTAAAACGTCACCAAAGCCTACGGTTGCCAACTGGCCTGCCAATCGTGGCAACTACTAGCAAAACTCCCCTTATGAGGCAGCAGTTGGATAATATTGATTGCTCTTTATCAAGTCATATCGTCTTTTTGTTTATGTAAAATTAGGGTCATAGAGTACTCGTTTATGTTGTTTCCGGATGGTATTAATTATAAATAGTTGTCCAATTGTAAGTACTTCAAAATTCTGTGTATGTGTATGTATATGTGTATATATATATATATATATATATATATATATATATGTATATGTATGTGTGTATGTATGTACATATGTATATATGTACATATGTATATAATTTTCATATATTTTTAATTTGCAAAAGATGTTTATTTCATTATATATTATTATTTAATTATACAATTGTATCGTTGTGTTAGTAAATTGTCTTGCTTATTTCCTATATTGTATAATGCAAATAAAGTATACTCATTAATTCATTCACTTATTCATAAATTATAAAAAGAAACGGTTAAAAAATTGCGACTTAGAAAATTACTCTTTGTGCTTTCTCTAGTGTTATTAAATGTATTTTCGCTGCTCCTCCCTATGTATATAAGCAATAGGTGAAAAAAGAGTGACAGAGTCTTTTATGCAATTTAGAATGACAAACAAGCTGACTGCCCACCTGATGGAAAGTGGTAACCGTCGCCTACAGACATGAGCAATATGATAACCCCCATGCGTTACTATTCCTGAGGTGTTATTCCTCTGTACCCTGTAAATTCACTGCCATATCCCACCCTTCAAACTGAAACACAACCATGCGAACATAACTGCTTCACGGTAGAAACACGAATGGAACAGAGGTGTCCAAGCAATCGACTTTTGTACAAAGTTTCCTTCTGGTAAAATCCAATCAATCCAAAAGCCTGGAGCCCGATGATGATGATTATTGCACCAGTTGGTAGCAGTACCACAAGCCTCTCAAGCCAAGCCCGTTGGAGCGCACGCAGGCTGGTGCCCGGCTGGCAAATGCCACCTCGACTATATGGCCAGTCCGATGCTGAATAAAACTATATGATATCCACCGTCGCCGATTGCAAATTTATTTTAATATTTATTTTCACAACTGACAATGTTCACTCCGTTGTCGGTTCAATATAAATATTCTTGCAATTATGTGGACACGGGGGAAAGGGATTGTTAGTAATGGAGACTGAGAATCCCATTTCTAGCAATATACCCAACCAGGTCGACCTCCTCGCGGTTCTCCCTGGAGACTATCATGGTTATTTCCTAATGAATTCATCATGATGGGCTAACTGGCCTATTTTCATTCTCATCTACTCGTATCAACTTTCACTGATGCTCCGCCAGCGTATCCCGTTAGCGCAGGCGGGGTTACCATACCATTTTCACCCATCAAAAAAAAAATTATGTGGGCACAATATTTTCCTATACAAACACGTAAATATACATTTATCGACCACCTGACCAATCTCCGATCAGCGTAGCGAACACGATCTGATTGATTGATGACGTGACGGATTTATACTCTATCAATCATTGGACGTAAACAAGTTGGGCGTTGGACCCTAAATAGATCTTACTAAATATAATACAATATCAATACCTTTATAACATTATTGTGTAGACATCGAATATTTTTATCGACTTTAAAAAATTCGACTATATTTAATGTATTACAACAAAATATAGGTGTAAACGTAAATACAGGAGTGTCGTAAGAATTGACTAAAGTAATTTAATAGTCAAGTGATGTATAACAACGATCCTCTTAAAACACCACCAAACCATATGTTAACTGCAGTTGCAAATAATCTCCAAATAAGAGGAGGCCTATTTTCAATAGTGGGTAATTCATCATTGTCATAGAATTAAAACCATCCTAAGAATCGAAATTGATTCAGAATTTACCATATGATCAATTCTATAATATATTATATATAATGTCAAATTATTATACATATAATAGCTAGACATTAAAACCCAAAAAGCACTTTTTCGTAGTTACAGTAACCGTTTACCATCTGACAAACTCTATGCTTGTTTGCCATCTTTGTGGTATAAAAAAAAAAGTGATTTAAAATGATAAATTTTAATTAATGCTATGTTATAAATAAACAATCCGGCTAGGCTTAGCACGAGTAGACAGAATTTTCTAAAATCATTCTGTAGTCTATATTACTCGTTGATATATGTGACAGAATTTTTAAAAATAGTTGAGTAGTTTAGAATTTATCCATTACAAAAAAAAACAATTTAGTTATCAAAATCCATTGTTTCTGCCTACCCTAATAGGAGACAAGCGTGACAGATATGTATATATGTATATAATCCATACTACTATACTATATACTATACTATAATACATAGCAATAAGCACATACAAAAAGGCATATAGAAAGAAAGGGGAAAATTTTGGTACGTGTATACAGTTCAACATTGAAGTAAGTTTTTATTTTTTTATTTATGTACATTTCACAACTACCAATTAAACCTACACGTGGATGTTTAAACTAATTAACTAACCACTGAGATACAGGCTCAGCCTAGTTCGGTGGCTAGTAGATGTAACTAGGTGTAAATTGTTATTAAATAAAGAATTATCAATTGTCAAAAAAATAAATTAATTACAAGTTTCATTAACTGATATCAGGTAAATTATAGTAAAGGTAATAAAATATTAATGATGTAATTTTTATTAACGTAAATACATATTACAGTGAATATGTTTTTCTAGAAATATAATCACGTAACGCGTAATACTTATTAAATATAAGTACAATGAAAATTTACGCAATCCAATGTATAATATTAGGTTTATTTTATATTGTCAATTGTAGAGACTTTTACATTGGTATGTTCAAGAGAAATGACTTTTTGGTTGCTCAAGACAAGTTGTATAAGGAAAAAATACCATTTAGACTGACTTATGCGAAATATGGAAGAGTTTTTAAATGTCCAGTAAGTTACTTTACAATGCGGTACTTACATAGGTCTACGTGATAATTGAATTCCGCTTCATTCTCGATTTATTGGGGAGCTCTAAGGCCATATATATATATATATATATATATATATATATATATATATATATATATATATATATATATATATATATATATATATATATATATATATATATATATATATATATATATGTAGTTTCTTTTTGTATAATAGTAGATATAAATTCAGGGCTGTGATAATATCATAATTACCTATGTGCATATATGTACATGTACATATACACACTACATATTTACATTTATTTATATTACACTATCTTACCCACTCATATATTTATACCTCTTTACAATTAGTGACCATGAATTCGTATTATTTAATCATTGCTGTTAATATCTGAACTGTAGCAACATGGATTTTAATTATTTTATATATCAATTAACCTGACTTTATAGACACTCATTATTATATATGGTTTCTTTCATACATGCACTTATATTACTTGCACACACCCACTCTAACTTGCCTACCTCGCTTTGGAATTATAGTTTTTGTTTGTATAAATAAAATCTGTTATTGGCTGTATTCAAAAGAGTAAGTCTCTAAGTAAGTAAGTTGTTTTTCAAGAGCTGTGGATTTTTGTATAGAATAAAATAAAGTAAAAAAATATAATAAAAAATATAATATATGCCATTAACAGGCCACTGTTGAAAATAGGCTTTCTCTTAGGGGTTTTAATAAAAGTTGATATACTTGGCAGGCGGATTAGCAACCGCAGTTAGGCTTTGGTAGTGTTCTACTCGTAATAGGATCACTGCTGCTCTCTTTTAAATTAAAGTATAAATTATTCCCTTAATTGCATCTCACGACACCTATGAGAAAGAAAGGGATGAACCATTTTATGCCCTGGACTAACTAATCGCCTAATCAGATAAGTGAGAAGAACCACGTGATAATTATTTATATTTCTTTACAGATAACATATCTCAGAGTAGTTGACCGACTAGGAACGGGTCTAGGTCCAAAAACCGAGATCATAAGAGGGGGTCTTCGCAAGAATTACGTTGTACTACGCCTAACGTCTCCATACAACTGTCCTATATATGTGAACATATATGTGGGATGCGAAAACAACAGTACTAGAGCTGTTGTTACATCACCAACAACAGTTGCTCTTACGTCTCATACTGCAGCTGGCGTTGGCATTAAAACCCAAACTGCTGGCATAGGTGCAGAAGGCGAAGGAACAAAAGCAACTGCTGGCGATCCTCAAACAAATACTATTAATCCAGCTTAGACGTTTTGTATTGTCAGCTTTCATGTAGCTATAAATTGTTATATAATAAAAAATAATCTTTTGTATTTCGTTATCAGTTACAGAACAACAGGGGACCTAGGTCTCACCCATAAAATGGGGTTTTCTCAATACTTCCCATGCTTGGCAGGCGAGTTGACAACCGCAGTTAAGCTTCAGTGATTTGTTAAAAGGAACGCTGTTACTCATTCCTTAAGCATTAAGTTCTCTTAGTAGCTTCTTACAACACCCACAAAAATAGAAGGAGTAACGCAAGGATCATATGATAAAACCTCATAAGTAGAAAGTCAAGTAGAGGACATATTTGAAAAACTATACCCAACAAAACTTGGGTTGAGGAAAAAGCTCAGGAAAACAGTTTATTCTTGTTTTCTTCAGACTGTAATGTTAACTGCAGTGAAGTTACTCACGGTCCCCATTCTCAGGTACGGGGCGTCAAATAACAATAACATTGTTTACTCAGAGTCAAACGTTACCTGTACGTGTAAAGAATTAATGAAGTTTTATACGCAATCATATCGTACTGTATACGACCACAGTGTAAGAAATAACCAGCAGTGACGTCCTTGTGGTATCCCGAATAATTACATGACAGTTTGGGACGGTTGGCTCTGTTTAGTTGTAACCGTTGGATGGTCGATAGGAATATTTCGTTCTATTAATATTCTAATAAGAAGAAAAAATTAAATTCAATTAAATTAAAAAAAAAAGTTTTTTTTTCCTTTTTTTAGATAAAAAATGTAGATAGATAGATAAATTATTTGCATTACATACAGCACACAAATAATAGTAAAAAGAGATAAAAGAATACATACACAAAAAAAAGCAAAATATATATATTTTGCTTTTTTTTTTATAAAACAACAATTTTCTTCTATCATGCGTGTGCCATAGTAACACAAAATGGTCACAGCTCATTTTATTGTTTTGCCCTCAAAAGAGCAAAATACTGATATTCTGTTGTTGCCAAGAGCCAGTCGCGTAAGTAGTGGAATATACAAATTAAAAAAAAGAAAGAAATGTTTATTTAGTGCTTAACTTTGCACTTAATAAAAAAAAGAATTATAATATAAGATAATAATAATAATAAGCGGTGCTCTTAGATTCTGCCCGCATTGTACGCCGGTTTCTCTCCCTGGGGCCCTGAACTCCGGCCGACTGTGCTTCTGCCGGGGGTTAGTTGCCATCTCCTCTCATTAAGCGGAGAGATGAGAATTTTTGTAAAGTTTAAAAAATAATAATAACAAAACGAAAACACTAAAATGGTATCACTCTATCTGTGACACCCCAAAACAATCAACATACTACAGTGTGTGACTATCACAGTATCTAAAGAAACTAGTAACTATTGTGCTAAAATTAATTTACAACTGTCTTTTATCCATTTTTTATGTATATTACCTTTTTACTCCGTCAATTGTGAATCGATTTGGAAAATTAATTTTTTTATATGAAAGGATATACTTATAGCTTGATTCAGAAAAAAATTTATTGCAATCGGTTCAATCATTTAGTTTTAAAAATCAAAATAACTAGATATAGAATAGTCCATCACTTCCTTTCCTGTGGGTGTCGTAAGAGACGACTAAGGGACGGCGAGGAATAGGCAGCAGCCTCACTCTTAAAACATCGCCTAGGCCTAAGTGTGGTTGCTAATCCGCCTGCCAAGCGTGGTAACTACTGGCAAAACCCCTCAAAGGGGAGGCTTTGTTCAGCAGTGGACAGTTAAAGGCTGATAGTTTTGCCAAAACCGAAATAATTTTTTATGTGGTACACATTTTTTTATTTCAGCCATTATCCGTCCACTGCTGGACATAGGCCTCCCCCATAGATCGCCATAAAGAACAGTCCAGAGCCACCTGCATCCACTGACTCTCAGCAATGCATTTCAAGTGGTCACTACATCTAATGTATAACGTGGTACACAATCTTAATTAATACTCTTCGAATTTATTTCGCTAGCTTGCCGCGTAAGCAGTAATATACCAAGCATATGTACATGACAATGGTTCCTTATAAACGTATAATGTCTTATCTTATTTATAATGTATAGCAAAATTACCCTTGATAAGCGGCTTACAAAACATCCTGTAACACAGTCTTTTCAACTGTAGATTGTAACCCATTTAGATATTCCTGAAGTAAAAGCAACGGAATATATTATGCCGTCGTACTTATATAATTTAGAAATACACCTATGTTTTTGCACGTAAGTAAAAAAAAAAACTATTTTCTTTGTAAAGTAATTGTAAAAAGACCTTAACTAGACAAAAATCATGTCTCAATATTTATCACTGACATTTTATAAAAATATACCGATAATCTTTTCTATTTGTTACCTCATAACTCCGTCTGTTCTAAACTGATTTAGAAAGGTTTTTTTTAATATACATGCATATTAGTCCCATAATTTTTTTATCAAAATTGGTTTAGTAATTTAGTTTTTAAATCAAAATAACTGTTTTTGCCACATTTAAAGTCTCTTATCGATCAACTTAAAAAAAGAGGTACTAAAATCGGTGGTTTTTATTTATGTTTGTTACCTCATAACTGACTCAATTCCAAACTGATTTGGAAAATTCTTTTTTGTCTAAAAGAATATACTTACAGATTACTCCTACTACTTAGAAATTTTATTAAAATCGGTTCAGTAATTTGTTTATAAATAAAATGGTCCCAATTGAAGTCGGTTTTTATAGTGGAACAAAATCTTAATTTTCTAAATTATTAATACGCACTTTACTCTTATATGTTAGAAAACATTGATAGATACATTGATTAAATTCAATTTTTAATTATGATAAAAATATTATAAACAATATTGCCAAAAATTGTCACGTAACCACTAAAGACAAAACAAAATTTTTTTATTCCAAGAAATTACATACCAATTATATCAGTTCCTGATGATCCAAATAACTATAATGACTTAAATATGGTATATTTAAATCTTATAATTAATGTGAAATTAATTAATATGTTCCTGTATCGAATACATTTATTCAATGTTTTGATCTAGTGTCGCTGTGGCCCATAGATGAAGCCCATAAACTTAAATAATATATTTTTATAGAATTACTTAACTATGTGTCCACGTGCGTGCGTACAGCGTGCGTGCGTACAGCGTGCGTGCGTGGCTGCGTGCGTGCTAGCGAGCGTGCGTGGGTGCGTGCGTGCGTGAGTGCGTGCGTGCGTGTGAGCGTGCGTGTGTGTGTGTGTGTGTGTGTGTGTGTGTGTGTGTGTGTGTGTGTGTGTGTGTGTGTGTGTGTGTGTGTGTGTATGTGTGTGTGTGTGTGTTTATGTGTGTGATATGAAACTATTGTGTGCATTTCGATACATATTTCATACAATAAATATTATTAAATCCTCTGTATGCGTATGATATTGCATTTTTAACATTCTAATTGTCAGAATAATGTCAAACGAGTATGCGGCTCACCTGATAGTAAATGACTACCACTGCCCATGATCACCCACAACACCAACGGCAAAGCAGGTGTGCTGCCGGCCTTTTAAAAAGGATAATGCTTTTTTCTTGAAGGTTATGATATCGAATCGATTCGGAAATACTATTACTGGAAGTTGATTCCAAAAGGTGGTTGTGCATGGAAGAAAGTGGCTTGAAAAACGCAATGTAACGCAATGCATGTAACCTACATCACAAAAGGCACTAATGTGTGCCCCTATATTCGACATGACGGTTCAATTTTAGCGCCCGTTGAAATGAGAATTAATTTAAAAGCTCAATTAATTGCCTCTGATCATGTCGTATATGATAAGGACATCATGTCAATTAACACTAAGAGGCAGCATGACTCATTTAAAAGGGTTATTCATAAATGACACAATGTCTAATTAGTATTTTAATAGTTTTAACTATTAAAGAAAGATCCGAAATGAGGATATCCGCAAAAGTACCAAAGACACCACATATATACATAGCCCGAAGGATAAGGAAGCTTAAGTGGCAATAGGCTAGTCACATAGCTCGAGGAACCGTCAACCGATGAAGAATAAAGTTCTTGAGTGACGTCCCCACATGGGCAAATGCAGTGTGGAACGATTTCCCACTAAATGAAGTGACAATCTCAAATGCATTGCAAGAAATCAGTACCATATGGAGACTTTGTACAAAAGTCGTTTGCTTGGCCACCTCTGTCCCATTCGTGTATCTACCGTGAAGAAGTTGTGTTTACATGACTATGTTTCGGTTTGAAGGGTGGGATATGACAGTGAATTTACAGGGTACAGAGGAATAACACCTGAGTCCTTAGGAATAGCAACGCATGGGGGGGTATCATGGGCGAAACAATATACTCTGTTCTGTCCATGACACTGCTCATGTCTATAGGCGACGGTTATCACTTTTCATCAGGTGGGCCGTCAGATTGTTTGCCATTCTAAGTAGCATAAAGAAAATTGAGATTGCTCAGGACCGTTCTTTATGGCAATATAAGGGAGAGGCTTATGTTCAGGAGTGGACGGACAATGGCTGAGATGATAATGACGATCAGATATAGAAGATTGACGTGACATTTATATTAGAAGATTGTAACTCCTTTTGGATGACGTGAAACCATACTTAAATAAAATACTTGTAACAGCCTCTGGTTACGTGTTCAGTAGAAAGATTCTGTTATAACTTGTTTACAGTCAGTTTAATGAGCTACATAATAAGGAAACGCTGAGAAATATGTTAAGGAATTCTCGAAATGATCACTCAGTAGAATAACTTGTAATGCTCGTAGCAAAAAAAATGTATTACGTTTAAAAAATATATTATTTATTTCGTATATAAATACTATTTAGATTCATATTTCCCACCAGTTAATCCATAAATAGAGAATAGAAGAGGCAAAATGCTGGGCCATCTTATACGACATGATAATTTGTTAAAGAATATAGGAAAAATAGGTGGCAAAAGAGGAAGAGGAAGACCGAGGAATAACTACATGGGACAGATAAAAGAAACACTAGGTGTCATGTCGTATAGGGAAGTC